GAAGATGCTTTATGAAGATAATTAGATGGTTTTCTTTTTCCTCGTGCCTCTCTATCTGACCCTAAGGTCAGTTTCAAAAGTTGAGTCTAGAATGTCTTCGTGATGATTTCATCTTAGGGTTCTTGAAAGAAACAGAACCAGTAGGGTATATATGTGTGTATGTTGCTATGAGTCGGAATCAACTGGATGGCAATGGGGTTTGGTTTGGTTTTTTTGGTATATATATGGAGAGAGAGAGATTTTTTTTTTTTTTTTTGAGGAATTTGTGTACGTGGTTATGGGGACGGGCAAGTCCAAAATCTCTAAGTCAGGCCATGGGCCGGAAATTCCAGCAGTCTTGTGTTCTAAAATCCATAGGTCTGGTGGTAGAGGAGAGAGAAATTCTGGCAAGATGTGTATTTATAGTCTGGAGGCAAAATCCCCCCTGGAGAAACCTCCCTTTTTGTTCTTAAGGCTTTCAACAGATTGCATGAGGCCTGCCCACATTATGGAAGGTGATCTGATTTAATCTCACGTAAGTGCTTCATAAGTACATCTAGAGTAGGGTTTGACCAAACAACTGGGCAGTATAGCCTAACCAAGTTGATACTTAAAATTAACCATCACAGATAACGTTATTGGAAAGTATATAGGCTCTTAAGATGCCTACACTGAAGACTAGATTTTATTTTATTATTTAATTTTTGGCACGATTATCAAAGTAATCGGTTTTGCCCTGGTGGCAGAGTGGTTAAGCGCTCGGCTGCTAACCAAAAGGTCAGCAGTTCAAATCCACCAGCCGCTCCTTGGAAACCCTATGAGGGCAGTTCTACTCTGTCACTGTAGGGTTGCTATGAGTTGAAGTCAACTCGATGGCAATGAGTTTGGTAGGAAACATGATAACTGTCAGTAAGCCGGAATGCTCACTTAAGCAGAATAACTTGTTCCCTAATCATCCTGGGCTATTTTTCTTTTATATTGCATACAGTATTATTTCCCTTATAGGTTCATATGGTTTTGTATTATTTTTATAGTTTTGAACTGGGAAAAGAAAGGGAGTGTTATAGGGTTTTAAAAACCATTAAGAAATTTATTGATGAAGCATATGATTTTTATTATACAAGAATTTTTTTTACTAATGAAATAATAATGACATATTTCTTTTATTATAGTTTATACATTATTTGTAAAATTTTATGCAACTAATGGATACCTGGCAGTTTCTCTTTCTCTCAATATAGTTGATCCGAAATGTATGTTTGTTTTTGGTGGAGACGGTGTGTTCAAGCCTTGTTGTTAGGTGCCATCTCGTCAGTTCTGACTCATTGTGGCCCATGTGTACAACAGAACGAAACACTTCCTGGTTCTGCACTGTCCTCACAGTCGTTGTTATGCTTGATCCCATTGTTGCAGCTACTATGTCAATCCATCTCATTGAGGGTCTTCCTCTTTTTTGCCCTCTACATTACCAACCATGATGTCCTTCTCCAGGGACTGATCCCTCCTGATAACGTGTCCAAAGTATGTGAGACGTAGTCTCACCATCCTTGCTTCTAAGGAGCATTCTGGCTGTACTTCTTCTAAGAAGGATTTGTTTGTTCTTTTGGCAATCCATGGTATATTCCATATTCTTTACCAACACTATAATTCAAAGGCACCAGTTCTTCAATATTCGTTATTCATTGTCCAGCTTTCACATGCATATGATGTGATTGAAAACACCATGGGTTGGGTCAGGCACACCTTAGTCTTCAAGGTGACATCTTTGCTTTTCAACACTTTAAAGAGACCTTTTGCAGCAGATTTGCCCAGTGCAGTGTGTCATTTGATTTCTTGACTGCTGCTTCCATGGGTGTAGACCGCCAGGTCCTTCTTCCTAGTCTGTCTTATTCTAGAAGCTCAGCTGAAACCTGTCCACCACGGGTGACCCTGCTCGTATTTGGATACTGGTGGCATAGCTTCCAGCATCACAGTAACACGCAAGCCCCCACAGTACTTTAAACTGACATACATGTGAGGGCTCAAGCCTTTTATCCCCTTATAAATTGATAGTGTAAAGATAATAAATAAAAAGAGACTTTCTATTATAATCATATTCCCTTATTTCTTTAGGAAGAGCAGTGAGTACTGAATCACTATGCTAATTGTAAATCTGTTACCCTCTTCAGTATTTACATTAAAATTATTTAATGAGTCTTTGGTTAACACCTGCCAAATGTGGAGCAATATTTTTTTATTGTTGTACTTTAAGTGAAAGTTTACAATTCAAGTTAGTCTCTCATACAAAAATTTATACACACATTGTTATATGACCCTGGTTGCTCTCCCTATACTGTGACAGACAACACACTCTGCCTTTCTGCGCCGGACTCCCCGTGGAGCAATATTTTTTAAATGATGGCATAGTCGTTATGGTTAAGGGAGGTTTTTTAATTATTTTTTTTAATTTAAGAAAATAAGATTGTGGTAATTGCAGGCTTCAGTGATTAAAGTCTAAATAAAGGTGATGGAATTTAAGGTGGAAAGGATGCCATAGGTTAAAGAACTTTATCCATGTTGTAGTAGGTACCAAACTTCATTCCTTTTTATTGCTAAATAATATTCCTTTATTTGGATATGCCACATTTTATTTATCCACACATCAGCTGATGGACATTGGATTGTTTATACTTTTTGGCTGACTAATGCTGCTATGAATTGAGTTTGTATATAAGTCTTTGTTTAGATATATGTTTTAAATTCTTTTGGATATGAAACTAGAAGTGGAATTCCTAGGTCATATAGTTACTATGTGGAGCCTTTTGAGGAGCTGCCTAACTTTTTCAAACTGGCTGCACTGTTTTATATTCCCACCAACAATGCATGAGGTTCTGTGTACATTTTTTTTACATCCTCACCACTACGAACACTTATTACCTATTATTTTGTTTATTTTATTGTATTTTTATTTTTATTGTACTTTAGATGGTTTACAGAACAAATAGTTTCTCATTAAACAGTTAGTACACATATTGTTTTATGACAATGGTTAACAACGCCATGACATGTCAACATTGTCCTTTCTCAACCTTGAGTTCCCTATTAGCAGCTTTCCTGTCCCCTCCTGCCTTCTAGTCCTTGTCCCTGGACTGTTGTGCCCCATTAGTCTTGTTTTGTTTTATGGGGCTGTCTAATCCTTGGCTGAAGGGTGAACCTTCGGAGTGACTTCGTTACTGAGCTAAAAGGGTGTCCAGGGGCCATACTCTCGGGATTTCTCCAGTCTCCGGCCAGTAAGTCTGGTCTTTTTTGTGAGTTAGAATTTTGTTCTACATCCTTCTCCAGGTCTGTCCAGAACGTTCTGTTGTGATCCCGGTCAGAGCAGTGAGTGGTGGTAGCCGAGCACCATCTAGCTGTATTGGACTCAGACTGGTGGAGGCCATGGTAGCTGTGGTCCATTAGTCCTTTGGACTAGTCTTTTCCTTGTATCTTGTTTTCTTCATTCTCCCTTGCTTCCGAAGGGGTGAGACCAGTGGAGTATCTTAGATGGCTGCTCACAGGCTTTTAAGACCCCAGTTGCCTGTTATTTTGATTGATCCATCCTAGAAATGTGACGTGGTATCTCATTATGGTTTTGATTTACACATTTCCATGTGCTTATTGGCTATTTGTATATATCTTTGGGGAAATATCTATTCAGATACTTTTGGCCACCTGCTCACATTTAAGAGAGAGTACCAGAAAGCTGATTGGAACCTTTGAGTGCATACCTGGAGCTTGTTGACTGTGATCTTCATTTTAGGGTGATCTTGCTGGACATTGCATTAAGTGACACCCAATGTTGGGATTATTTAATCTTTCCTCTTGCAGTGTTGGTGTTTCCAAAAGAAGTCTCTGTTTTGCTATTTGGCTGCCAAAATTCTGTAAGCTAAGTAGGGGAAGAATGGTGAGGGTACCTCAATATTTAGTATATAAGCATTGCCTTAATCTACTATAATCAGTTTGAAACCCCACAATTCTTGTCTGATATCTCCCAGGCCAGAGACACCTTGTTTTACTCTCTCCAGAGAGTAAACCTCTAGTCTACTTTTGGACTGGGGAGAGGACAATCACTTGCCTGAATAGAATAAGTTGGGGTCAGGAGGCCTAACTGCTTCTCAAATAGACTTTCAAGCTATCTTTATATTCTCCCTTTGCTTCACTTTCAGTGCTATCTGGAGCCACCATTCCAGAGCCTTCTGGAGGGGCTTGCAGTATAAATTGTATTGCTTCTGAACTTCCTTAGCAGTTGATAGATTGAAGTCAGTTACCAGTTGTTCATCTGCTTTCAAAATTCAGTTGCTGTTCTCTCTTCTCCCAGATGTTAGTCCTTATAGATTTATGCTACTTAAAACTTTTTAATCTCATCAAGTGGAATTTCAGAAGATAGTGAAAATAAATGCTTATGTCTAATTCAACAAAAAGGACCCTGCTTCTATTTTTAATTTCAAAGACTTCACAGTTTTTCAACCTTCACTATAACCCTCACTTGATTTGTTTTTTAAATGTACTAGAACGTGTCTTAGCTGACCTTCGCTTACCTGACATGCCAGATTCGTGAATGCACTCTATTCCCTCTGTAAAATATATTACTAGATGCCCGTGAAAGAAGCAGAAAGCTACTCTTAGAAATATCTGTGCACTTCTGCTCCCTCCAGTTGAGTTGTGTGCTTGCCAGGGGTCAGTTTATTCCACTTGAAAGAAATTGAAGCTGGAAATAGTAGTTAATGCATGGTGGGTGTGGTTGTATAATAACTCTAGGGAACCACATCAAAAGTTACTTAATGAATACATACAAATTTTAATTTAAAAGTATTTATGCCTTGTGAGTATATCACTTTTTATGATTCTCTGCTTTGACAGCTTTGTTAACTAACTGAACAACTGCCCCCAAATGTTTTGGGTAACAGGTGAAACTTCATTAAATCCTAGGGTTCAAATGAATGGTTCTGCCATGTTTTGTGCTGAATTTTCACATAGTTATATAATTAATTGTTTTTGTTTAGTTCCAGATATTGAAGTGAAAGGAGAGTGTTCTAGCTATTATTTCTTGTTACAAGGTAATGGCAATAAAAGATGTAAAGCGACATTGATTCACTCAGCCAACCAGATCAATGGTTCATTTGCGCTCAGTTTAATTCATGGAAAGATGAAAGCAAAGACAGAAGAAACGAAACTGAGTAAGTGTTAACTATAGGTAGAAAAAATATTTTTATGTTTGTATGTGTTATTAATGTATGTGATTTTAAGTTGGAGAAACATTAGACATTAATGAACTTATTTTCCCCAAACTCCAATTCCCCGCAGTAAATTTACCTTTTATTTTAGACATACTGTAAAATATTTTTACAATTTAGAGTGTAAAAATTTAAATCCTCTTATGTTATACCAAGTAAAATTTAGTAGGTCAGCCTATACTTCCAAATAAGAAATTTTTAGTATTTTCTACTTTAAACACGTATTTTTCTTTAATTTATCTCTTACTTTCATTTACTTTATCTATTTCATTGCCTTTCTCTTTTCTCCCCAAACTCTATGTTTTGATTTTCTATTGCTGTATGACAAACCACCCTAAAGTTGGTGGCTTAAAACAACAGTGTATTATTGTTGCTCATGGTCCTGTGGGTTGACTGAGCTCAGCTGGATAGTTCTATTTTGAGGTCTCTTAGATGATTGCAGTCACGTGGCAGCTGGGGCTGGAGTCATTTGAAGAGGATCAGCTAGGCTTGGTGTCCAGGATATCTTCTTCACTCATATGCTTGGCTTCTGGGTTAGGATGGCTGAACAGATGACGGTAGACTTTCTCTTCACGTGCCTGTTCTTCATAGCTGACTTTGGCTTTCTCACATCATGGTCTCAAGGTAGTCTGAGACTTCCCCATGATGGCTGACTTCTGTTAGAGCAGTTGTTCTAGGGGACAAGGTAGAAGCTGCAAGGCTTTTATGACCTAACCTCAGAAGTCATGCAGTGTCACTTTTACCATACCTTACTGGTTACATGGAAAAGTCCAGATTCATAGTGGAAGGGACTATACCAGAGGTTAATCGCAGAAGATGTGGTTCCCCGGGGTACATCTTTAGAGACCAGCTACTGCATCCCATCTGTGTTTTCTAAAGTAGTTTCAATAGCTGAGCAGGTTGAGGAAGATGCAGGAAATTCTACTCTGCCACCTAAATTCCCTCAATTTGAGAAGCAGGTCAAAGTTTAAAATGCAAAGTAAGTTAGTATGCTTATTTTCTGCTCATGAGTTATTATTATTTTACTTTGAAATATGCAATAACAAGGGAGGTAAGTGATTGTCTTTTTTCTCTTTATTATGTTATAACATATTTCCTGGGAACTTAGTATTAATACTTTAATATTGACTTTTTCTACTTCTCAGGCTTCCCTTTTGACTTCTTGTCACTTCCGCATTTTTCTGGGGAGCAGGTGGTACAAAGAGAGAAGCAGTTAGCCAGTGTACAAACTTTGGCTTTGAAAGAATGTCTGAGTAAGTAACAATTTGTATGTTTCATCGTACTGTAAGAATGGTGGCTTGTTCAGAAATAATACGTCTTCATTTTCACCTAAGTTTATTATACTTGTACAGTTTTTTAGGTACTGTAAGTCGGAATCAACTTGATGGCAATGGGTTTGGGTTTTGTTTAGTTTTGTCTTTTAAGTGGGACACTCATTTATTAAACTATTTTTGCATAGAGATGATATGGAGTAAAAGATCTATATTTTCTTTTTTTTTTTCCAGATTCAGTGATTTTCAAATGGGTGAAATATGAATATAGAAGTGTTTAAATTGATTCAGTTAACTCATTTATATGGATTAAACTAAAGAATATAATGGGAACAACTTTCCTTGAAAAAAATCAACTTTTCTCAGTATTAATGCAAAGATTATAGTACTTGCAGAAAAACAAAAAGTTGTTCAAAAAGATTTCCTCAAAATTATCAGCAAGACATGCAGTAAGAAAAAAATATTTATAGTAAACTAATTACTGCCTTCTCACTATTTCCTTGAGTAGTACATAATCAGAAAGAACAGCTAGAAAAGTTTGCAGAAAAATGTGCTCACAGCTCAACAATAACACTGTATTCAGCCACTTTGTTTTTTAAAATAACACAAATATCAAATTTTCTTTTAGGATTTAGTTTATTTTCTTAATAATACTTTCTTTTTATTAATTTTATTTACTTTCTTTTTATCAATAGTATCTAATACTATTGTATTAAAATGATGATATTTGAAATTTAGACTTTTATAATTTATATTTTGCCTGATGTTTTTGGTAATTTATAACTTTGGTATTTAGAAATATTAAATATTTTATTCCACTGATTTTTCAAGACAAAGCTTAAGGATGCTGAACAATTTTAAATATTAAATAAAAGACTATTTATGTTTAGTATGATGTAAAATAAATACCAAACAGCAGTATTGTCATTTTCTCCAGTAGTACAGTCACTACTCTTAAGCTCCTCGCATCTTTTTTAATTTATAGAGAACCCAGTGCAAGCCTGATGGATGTTCATTCTACTGATACTTTTAGATATTCTACTTGTCTATTTCCCTTTAGTAAGTCATTAGTTATTACTAGCTTTTTAAGGAATTGTATTATTTACTGTTTCATTTTTAGATTTTAGTCCAGTATTTCTCTCGCAATGATTTTTCTGCCACTTGTATTCAGTCATTTGTGTGGAGATTATTTTTCTCCCTAGTTAAATGATCCTGCTTGTAACCTTATCAGACTCTATCAATTTTCTATTTCTCAATTATCAAGGTCAATATGAAGTCTTAGCCTGCTCTCCAAATTGTCCAATGTTGTAATATAATTGATAGTTTTAATAAACGTAGGTCAGGTTCATAATTTAAGTATATTTTTAGCATTAGTAAAAATGTAAGGGCCAATCTCTGAAGCACGTTACTCATTATGCATCTTTCAGAAGAAAACAAACCATTGATTATTTTTCGTTTTAGAATGGCTCCCAGCAGCAGATTGTGCAGAAAATAAAGAGCAGCTTTTTATTCTCACTAAGAAGACTTAATAAAAGCTGCATATATTACAACTCTCACATTACCATACTAATGTTCTTGACTACAGAAACCATGTGTTACTTATCTTGGGTTAGCTCTGGAAGGACCCTACCAATATCCACGTTGGTGTGGTGGGATTTTAAGGAGGTGTGTATCATAGAATTGATACTCAAGTTGGTTTTAAAGTAGAACCTTGAGACAGACTCCTTCCTTCTCAGCCTACTTCCTTGCATTAATTATGTACCAACCTCACATAATGTGCTTTGTTCCTCTCTCTAAGGGCACAGCACAGCACGGTGCTTTGCAGGCGACGAGTACTCAACAAATGTTTGTTGAATTGAATTCTCTATGAATTTGTAGGTTACAACCTTATTATGGAAGAAAATGTTATTAGCCTAGAAGCCTTCTAAAATTAAATACTTTTATCAAAATAATATATAGGTATAGTTTAAAAATTCATCTGGTACTAAAAAGCTTAAAAGGGAAAATTAGCAGTATCCTACCACGCCTTCCCATCCTTCATTCTCTCTATCCACAGCCAGCTACCCTCAGCTCTTCCAGCTTGTTCTCCTGTTACTTTCTTCATTTTTCTGCTGCTATCTCTTGATTTACCAGCTTCAGACATTATATTAACTTCCCACTGTGGATGATAAAGAATTAGCTTTCCCACATCTTTTTTACTTTCCTTTTCTACGCCTTACAGTGAATTCATGAAGTTTGGTTAAATCAGTGGTTAGTTTTAACATTATTATAACCAGATGGAGCTACATTGCAAATGAAAGATTGATTGAAGGATATGGCTTTTTATAGATTTGTGGCCAGGTGAACTTTGTCATACTTATATCCAGAATTAAACTTTCCCACGGAGTCACTGTCAGAGCTAAGCAACTGCAGACCAACCCTGCAGGGCAGGATGCTTAACACCTTGCAGAGAGCTTACATCCTGAATACCAGCTAGCTCAGGTAAAAGGCAGAGAGGAGGGGGCTGATCAGAGCATGCCTCCTTTCTTCTCCAGATGAACTCAGTGAGTGATTGGACTGGGGCTTTGGGGAGCTGGAAGTGTTCCTGAAGGCAAAGTCCTTGCACATGTCAAAATAAGGCCAGGGTAATGAAGATCCCCCACACTCTCCAACAGCTTTCTTTAAATATCTAGTGATTCTTTCTGTCCTATTTTAAATTAGAAGTTTTATATGACCAACTCTAATTTATTATCTGGCAAGCTTTGCTGTAGGGTAGTGGGGTGACAACTCGACATTTTTGTTGTGAGCTTCCTAGGGGTAGGACTGGGAATCTGACCTTTTAGTATGTAGACTTTTATTTAAGTCTTTAGTTTTAATCCCAGCCTGATCACCTTCCACTGCACTTGATATTTCAGAGTCTGGGACACCTCTCTTTCAGTTTCGACCAAAAAAGAAAGCAGAGTTGCCTGACTATGAAGGCTGGAGGGCACGGTGGGGAGCTGGAGTTCTAACTGCTCCTGATACGTGCAGGCCTGTTTTCAGCCCAGTACCTCACTACCACCTTTCTAATGCCTCATGGGCAGTACCCCTCAGGAGGCACCTCTGCTCTGCTGACTTAACTACTATGCCCCATCATCTTTCTATCTTCTAAAAATTTGCTGAAAGCTGCCAGTATTTCTCATTTTTGCTTTGCTCTGATTTTATGTTTGGGGACGAATAAATAGTTGCAAATGGCCAAGCTGCCACATTTAACTGAAAGTCTTAACAGGTTTTATTTTTCCCATAAATCACTAACGTAAGACCATTTTTAATGCTCTGTATAAAATTTGCAAACTTTTATAAACTCCTCATTACTGTTTATCAACTTTTTGTTGTTAACAAATTATATCTGTTTATCTTACATAACTGGAAATTCTGCCATTACCTGCAAATGGAATTATGATGAAAGCAGGCCTACACAGAAATGTTAATTTGCTAGAGAAGTTCACTTGTTTCACCTTTGAAAAATACTTCCCATAAAAGAGTAGTAGATGAGCTCTACAAAAACTTAAAATAACAGTCATATGGTTAATTGTATCAATTTGTTGTCTTGCAGAAAGGAGGAAGTTGGCAAAGCAGCCTGAAGCAGTTTCTGTTGATGAGCTCAAAACTTTGTTAATACTCACAAGGGAACAATTTTTAGATCAGTTTAATGCTATTATTCCTAAAACAATTCTAATAAAGACAGACAAAATAAAAATCTCCAATGTGTTAAATGGTAAGTTTTTTTATTACTTTAAATTTTGGTTTTTTGTTTTTTTTTTTTTTTTGTATGTGAGATCTATAAAATGTGTTGGTTAAATCAAAATATATTTTATAAATTGAAATAATGATATATATTTGTATATACAAGTATGTGTGTATATACAATGAGCTGTATTTCTCATCATTTAAACATTTTGCTGACTTCTTGCATTAAGTATATTCAGTGTAATTGTTTTTGAGCAGAGAAAAGAGTATTTTAAAGTGATCCCTCTCTTACTACTCTTTCTAAGCTGCTAAAGTTAGTGAATTTGTATTAAGCTATATTTTCATAAAGTGAGAAACGTAGAATCTGTACTATTAACTTAATATAACTAAAACTACTATGCGAACATGCTGCGTATTTGCCATTTGTTATGGCAGGAACAGTCACCAAACTTCACTGGGGGAGCCAGCACTCATATTTACTTTCATTTCTTCCAGTTTTCATGGTTTCTGTTTGTTGCAATGTCTTTGAATAGAGTGAAGCTTTTTGAAATCTTAAGAAAAATTCAAGGACTGCCTGATAATTTTTAAAAGTACAGAACAATTTTTCGTTTGTATTGAGAATCATTTTTATTCCATAGATGAGAAAATGACCACAGAATAGTTAGTGATAATGTTTGTTAAGTGCCTTTTATGTGTTTGACACTGTGAAAGAACACAAAGAAGTGAAAATTTTGGTGCTTGGCTTTCAAGGGGCCAGTGATCTATTTGGAAAACAAGATGTAAATACAGCCTATAGTTCCATGTTCAAGAGCACGGCCTCTGGAGCCAGACTGCCAGGGTTCAAATCTCATTTCTGCCACTTGTTAGCTAGATGCCTTTATGCAAGTGATTTAAAGTCTCTGTGTTTCCACTGTTCTGTGTTTAAAGTGGAGGTGGTAATATTACCTACTTTCTATTATTGTGAGGATTAAATGAGTTGATATATGAAAGGCACTTAGAACATAATAAATGCCAAAAAAGTTTTAGCTGTCATTTGTATTCTCATCATTGTTATATATGAGTACGGAAGTTACAAAGTTAAATAAATAGCAGTACAGAGTTAATATGAAAGATGTTGGAGACAGTATAAAGTTGGTTATAAATGAGGGGTGTGTTCAATAAGTGAGAAGCAACTTAGCTTTGTGGTTTCAGCAAGGGCTCTGGAGCAGAACTGAAAGGCCACTTACTTGCTATGTGTCCTTAGGCAAGTTTGATAATCTCTCTGTACCTCAGTTTCTTTATATTTAAGTTAGGGGTGAGTAGGTCATTTTGAAATGAATTATTTGTGTATTGCTTAGAAAGTTGCCTGGCATGAAGTAGGTGCTATATATTTGTTTGCTAAATAAATGAATACGAATTTAAAGGAGAAGACTATAACTAGGATAAAATAGTTACAGAAGGCTTTGTTAGGAGCAGAAGGACTTGATACAGGTTTTGGGTGATGCATAGGATCTATGTAGAGAGAAGATAGGGTTTTCTAGGTAGAAGGAGCAACATACTCAGAGTCATTGAGATAAGAATGGGCAAACTCAGATCAAGAGAAAGATTGGCTTAAGCAGAGGATGTGTGTAGGACATAAGGGTTGGAAGACGAAGGGCCCAAATAATTGCAAGGCCTTTAATATAAGTTTATGGAAATGTATCTTATAGTTACCTGTATAATGTAAAGTTTTAGGACACTGTTAACACATGGAGCTATTGGAGCACTTTTCTTAAAATGCAAATCAGATCTTGTCACTCCCTTGCTAAAATCTTTTGGGTTGTTTTCCATTGCACATAGAATGCATTATCCTTAATATGGCTCGTAAAAACCCTGACTGATATCTGGCCTAGTGCTTACCATATTTTTATGCAAATAATGCGTGCCTTCTACATTTGTTTGCCAACTGCACCCTCCCCCCCGAGGTATTTTCATAAGCGCTGCTATGCCAATTTTTTTTTACAAGTTGCTATAAAAGAATTAGCATAGTACACTTATAAAAATACCTCGAGAGTGGGCACAGTTGGCAAACAAATGTAGAAGGTGCGCATTATTGCATAAAAATATAGTATTTTATCTTTCTCTAGTGACATGCTTCTGTTTCCTTATTACTACATAGAGGGTCTTACCGTTTTTGGACATATTACATTCCTTTTCTTTTTAGGACCTTTACACATGCAATCTGCTTTGTCTCGAATGTTTTAATCCAGTCTTTACCTGATTAACTCCTAGTTGTTCTTCAGGTCTCAAAAGTCTTCCAAGGCCATCATAAATTATTTATTTTTTGTATTATTTACTTTTGAGAATGGCACAGGAATAGGCAGTGTTTTCATTCTGTTGTACAAAGGGTCACTATGAGTTGGAACCTCCTCAACAACACCTAACAACAACATCTTTTGACAATGAGATAATTGATCTCTTTTTAAAAGATAGGGAATTTTTCTGGACTTGTTGCTAATTTCTGTTTCTGGTATGAAAATCACATAGTATATGTAAGTGCAGTGCAACTAATACAAGAGGCCTTTATGTACACAAATAAATGCACACATAGAGATTCATGTCTGTATTTTAAAGCAAAATTAAGCATGTTAACAATTTTTGGTATTTATGTGTATTTTTTCTCTTTAGATGCCATCCCATTGAAACCTGATTCTTCAAGTCGAATGGAAACCAATACTCTGGAATGCCCAGAAAGGCATGTTCTTCAAAATTTGGAAACCTTTGAAAAAGCTAAACAGAAAATGAGGTAATACTTAAATCCGTTGTGAAGAATGTTATAGTTCAGTATTTTTAAATGAGCTTTTCTTAATCCTTCAATTTTTTTTATGAGATATTAGTTTATAGTCTTAGTATAATTGAAATACGTGTTTACTGTATAAAGACAGGTAAATAATCAATAGAGTAGTATATCAATTAAAAGGGAAATGTGCTCCTCCTTCCCTTGATCTCTGCTTCTGCTTTCCAGATGTTATCATGTTAACATTTTGTTGTGTAGCTTCCTAGCCCATCTTCCATAGATATATACAAGGTATGAATTTATTTAAAAGAAAAAATTAATACAGGAACATGTGAAATGAAGCAAACGTATCCTTCTCTTTCAATGCAGGACCTTGTCATACAGAGTTTGGGTTTTATTTTATGTATTTTGGTAAGGTATTGAAAGATTTTATACCAAAAAGTGATGGTATATTGTGCAAAAGTTACTTTTGCTCTTTTGTGAATAGATCATAGGGGGGAGAGATTAGAAGCAGAGAGATTATTTAGGGGCTTTTTTCTGCAAGCTAAGTGAGAGATGACTGTGATCTTAAATTAGAGTAGTAGCAGGACACAAATTTGTGATGTATTTTAGTGGTCAGCTTGATGATGGAATGGTTGTGGAGGAGAGGAGAAGAGAGGTATCAAAGATAATATAGGTTTCTGGCTTGAACAATAGAGTGGATGGTGTTCTCATTTATAGGGTGAGGAAGATAGGTAGGAAGTTGGGGTAAGGACAGTTTTGGGGAGAAAAACCAAGCGTTCTGCTTTGGGCATGCAAAATTTAATCTATGAACAATCCAAGTGGAGATACCAAGAGACCTGGAGGAGAGATCTGGAACTTAGTTTGGAGTTATTGTTAAAACGAGGTTTTTAAATACATGACAGTGGAGGAGATCACTCGGTGCAACTTTAGAGAAGAAAACAGGGCTTATGATCATTGCCTGAGGATCTCTAAGGTTTACAGAAAGAAGAGTGAGAAAAGGACAAACGCACTGTCTTCGAGTTGGTGCTGACTCATAGCGACCCTATAGGACAGAGTAGAACTGCCCCATAGAGTTTCCAGGGAGCGCCTGGTGGATTCAAACTGCCGACATTTTGGTTAGCAGCCATAGCTCTTAACCGCTACTCCACCAGGATTTCCAGGTTACCCGCAAAACAACCTCAACTTCTTGCCCATCAGTTTTAGAAGATATCATTTAACTTCGCACTCTGAAAGATGGGAAGTTAACACCCCTATTTCTCTCTGCTTTTAGCCTCCCTCTACCTCAGAACCTTGTATTATTTGCAATAGGCAGTTCTTTTTCTTGAAGTCATTTTTCTCACATCTCTCTGACTTCCTACTTTAATTCGGACTGACTCATTCTACCCTGTCTACACAACTGTTATCCTGGAATTTCTTTTAATTACATTTCTAGATTAGGCCTTTATTTTCTTGGATCCCATGTCTTAATAAGTCTGACGTCAGATCGATTTTTTTCCCTTAATAATTTATTCTGTCTCTGAAAAACTTTCAGTATTTTTTATTTACCTTAATGCTCTGAAATTATATCTTTTTTTTTCAGCTCTGGGAAATATTCTTCTATTATTTCTTTGATAAATATTCCCTCTATTTTTTTTTCCTTCTCTCTCTGAAATACCTGTTTTAACTAATGTTAAATGTTCCAGACTGATTTCTCATTCAAATGTACTTTTTCTGTCAAGAATCCATCACTTTCTCTTTTCTGCTCTATGTTCTGAGATATTTTTCTTGACCTTTGCTTTCACCCCTTCTGTTGAGTTTTTTGGCTGTCATCTTTTAAATTATTGATAACTCTTTCTTGTCCTCTACCTGGAAGTTGTTTTTTCTGTTCCTTAAATGATCTCGTCTTCCTTTGGATCCTGCTTTATTTATTCCTCTGTGATTTTTCTCTCATGTGTAAATTTTCTCCAGTATCTGGTGGTCCTTGATTGTCTGTTCATAGCTAGGAATTTAGGACTAGGGGCCTTGGGTAGCTGGCATTGTGTTTTCTCTCTGTATCTGTAGTCTTGTTCCCTACTTGCTCTCGCCTGAGTTAATGTTGGTGGAAGGGGGAGATGTGGAGTAGAGCATGTCTGGCAAGCTTTACTTTAGTACCCCTCAGGGTAACAGCAGCCAAGCATCCTGGACCCTTCACCAAGCCCCTTTTAAAACCGGCTGGGCTTTATTCTGGGGCATCACCATCAACACTGGGACAGGCACGTGGCTCTGTGTTTTCAAAGAGCAGTTTCTCTGCTTTTAACTTGGAGGTAAAAGCACGGGGGTGAAGTGGGGCGGGTGTAGGAGGCTGGTACTTGCACAGTTGTTCTATATACAGGTCTTAAAATGTATCACCTTGACTTCTGCACATTGCCACTCTCTGGCCCCAAGTTTGGAGTCTTGCTGTGGCTTTGTTAGGTGGGAAGAAGAAGAAAACAGAGTCTACTTTTTTTTGTAAATTTCTCCCTGGTTCTGCCTGAGGCTCTTGCTCTATTTTATCCCTTTCAGAATTTTATTGGTCCACCATTTTCTCCTTCCTTTTCCAACCCTGTTCTGAATTTATTCTCTGGTACTTCAACATTGTGATTACAAATTGTTTGGGTGGAGAGGCTAATGTGTATATTTAATCCACTACCTTGAACTGGAAGCTTATTTGTCATTTAAGGTCCAGGTCAAATAAGACCTTGTCTGTTAAGCCTTTTATAAATGCTGCAACTGAATGTTATGGTCCTTTTTTAAACACTCAAGGACTGCGTTACTATATTTTTCACAAAACTTATTTTACCTTTTCTGTCTCATTCTACGCTGGTATATTTATCTCCTCTCACTCTCTTTACCTCCTTTCTCCCTCTTAATTCTTCTTTATAAATTAATTTACAGGCAGGGATTATGGCTCTATAAATTATCATCGTTTCATAAACTGTCAACTTACTTTTTAGTGCAAGTATAGTGATATTTAGAAGGCACACAATAAATGCTTGCGGACACTTCAAAATGTGGGAGACGCCATCAAATTCATGTTTAGGGGCAAAAGATGTTGCATATTTTCTAGATTTGTTTCGTGTTAAAGCAGGTTTAGCTGGAGAATAAAGAACCATTATACAGCGAAATTTAGAAGCCGTAAGATTTTGGTTTTATACTAACTCAGTCACCTGTTGTGTGGCTTTGTTGCTTACCTTTAAGATAGGGATAACAGTCCCAATTACCATATTCAGAGTATTGAAAATTTAGTGAGATAAAGGATGAAAAGTACTTTGTAAGCTTGCAAACACTGAACAAAATATTGCCAGTGCTGTTCTTTTTTTTTTTTTTAACCTAAGATATATCTTTGTAGTTTTATTTAAATTTGTAGGGGTTTTAAATTGCTTTGCTATCCTTGTGTCCAAGGTTCTATACAAATGCAAATTATACATTTCCCCATTGCATCTAACCCGTAAAATGATTGAGAGTAATATTCATTAGGAAACCTTTGTGAGTCACTATTAGAGAGTAGCTCTACAGAAATTAAATTAAACTCATAATGCAGTTCCTGCCCTCCTAGTATATAAAGTTCAGAGAAAATATTTGAATGTTTTCTTGTTTGGCTATTTTTATTAGGTTTATATTTTCAATTTTAAAAAAAGAGAGAAAAATAGGAAGGGCAAAGAGGTACTATTCGTACGTTAATGTATAGAAATATCAGTCTGAAACCATAATGGCAACATCTTAATCATATAATTATCTATAAAAATGTTTAATTTGAGTAATAAAATAATCAGGAAATAGCCTAATTAATATCAAGTCAGGAAATTAAGGAATTTTCTGTACAGAAGAGAAAGGTTTTATATTTTGCCACGTTGACTGGGTAATATGGTGACCTGTGACTCAATGCGTGATAAAACCTTCAACCTTCTTGAAAATAAAAGATATTCTCCTTTCCAGTTTTTGAAATTTTCTATGAACTTTTTGGTTTATGGAATAGTAGAGTGGAAATGATGCCTAATTTGGAGTCAGGAAATCTAGATTCTAGTTCTGACTGTCATTTTAAATCGTGTGTCGATCTGGGTCTGTAATGTAACCTGTTGTGTGTTAATATCTTTATCTGAAAAATAGGAAAAATAATATTTGTTTTTGGAGGGTTGGCATGCTCATTTTCACTTTACAAAGTACTTTTCTTCAGATGTTACTTCATTTTGAGATAAGACCTATTCTGTCTTTTTTAGGATGTTTTGTGAGATTATGCAGTATATTGTATATATAAGTATTTTGAAAAGTACTGCTCATATTTCAGGTATTACAATGATGATTCAGTGCTTATTCATAATGTCATAATCATGGCTAGAAGAGACCTTGGAGATATTTCTGATTATTGTCTCATTTCATGGTTGGGCTTCAAGTAATCTTTCAAGTTCATAAAAAACTGGAACATTCAGTACCTGTCCTCAAAAATTTACAATATTGTGGGATTTCAGAACATACAAGAGAGTTCAGATTACATTTTCTGGAATTGATAACTTTACACTACTGAATAATTCATCATCCTATCATTTATGAAGAATATCATTACATTTATGTTATTTAAGTGATAGTATTATTGACATGTTAACTGCAGATTTTACTGTGACTTAGATTGTTTTTTATACTTTGATACTAAATGATTTGCAAAGATTTTACTTTGTTTTTTTTCCCTAAATGTGTAGTTTCAGTTTTCTTTGTGTATTTTTCTAGTTGCTGCTCACATCATCTTTTTCCGACTATGGTGAATACTAATCCACCTTTAATAAATCTGTTAACATTATTTTCATAGAACTGGTTCATTACCTCATTCATCTGAACAGTTGCTGGGCCACAAAGAAGGTCCACGGGACTCGATAACATTATTGGATGCTAAAGAATTGCTTAAACACTTTACCTCAGATGGATTACCTGTTGGAGATCTTCAACCTTTACAAATTCAAAAGGGGTAAGTTATAAACTATTATTTGCAACTAATTTTTTTAGTAATTATTTTTAAATAGCATTGCATCTCATTTTCTCTGTTAATTGATGCCCAGTGCTACTTAGGCAAAATTTGTAAGTTTGAGCCTAGTGTTTATCAGTTGGCTTCAGTCTTCACGTTTAACCTCAGCCAAACGTTCTACTGTTCTTTGGTATTTTGTGTGAAACAGGAATAATAAAAGTAACCTCAACATATTCCCTACAGAAGTCAATTACTTCATTCTTTTTTATACAAAGGACAATATTTTTGAAGAAAAACTTAGAATTTGACTCTGTGAGAATTTTTTTTTTAATCCTCTTTACTGTGTTACTCTCTAGTTTTTTATTTTGCTGATAGTTGGCATGAACATTGTCAATCATGCCTAGTAGTGAAGAAAAGCACAGCATTTTAGCCAAAGGGAATGGGAAAGTATAATAAAAATACTTTTGAATCTGCAGTAATACCGTTAAGACTTCACTGTCCCCATGAATAATTTACATCTAATTTGACTTCCAAGACAACTGCCACTACATTACTAGTTAATAAATGCTGGATGTTGCTGACATTGACTAAATTATAGTTAAAACTGTGTCATTCCAAATACTTGTAAGAGAGAATTGAGAATTTTCTCATTACCCTCAATTTCTCTATGATTGTTAATCCATAATTTATAAAACTTTTTTAAAGGACCTTAAAAATTACAAAGCGCTTTGATTGCTTTTACAAAGCTTGTTTGGAATTATACTGTGATAAATCTTGGTTTTGAAGGGAAATTTTGAGAAAGATTTATTTGATGGTAGTTATACAGGACAGAGTAGAACTGCCCCATAGGATTTCCACAGAGTGGCTGGTAGATTCAGACTGCTGAGCTTTTGGTTAGCAGCCGAGCTCTTAGCCACTGTGCCCCCAGGGCTCCAAAATAATATTAGAGGGAGAAAATGCAGAACAGAATTCCAAATTCTCATGGAATCCAGACTTCGTAGAGCCATAGAGGCTGGATGAACCCCTGAAAGTATTGACCTGAGATAATCTGTAAACCTTAAACCAAAAATACTCCCTGAAGTCTTCTTAAAACCAAACAGTAGGTTAGCATAACTAGTAAAGAATGTCTGCCTTGAGCATTATGCTTTTTTTTTTTAATTTTTATTTTTTAAAGTATTTTATTTTGATATTAGAGAAAATTTACATAGCAAATTAAATTCTCGTTTAACAATTTCTATACATATTTTTCAGAGCCCTGGTGGCACAGTGTTTAAGAGCTCAGATGCTAACCAAAAGGTCCACAGTTCAAATCTACCAGCTGCTCCTTGGAAACCGTATGTGGCAGTTCTACTCTGTCCTATAGGGCCGCTATGAGTCAGAATCGAGTCGACAGCAACGGGTTTGGTTTGGTTTTGGTATCCATATTATTCATTGACATTGGTTACACTTTTCACATGTATCAGCATTCTCATTATTTCCATTCTAGTTGTTCTATTTCCATTAATCTGGCTTCCTTGTCCCCACTTACCTTCTCTACTTTGGTCTAGGGTAAATGTTGACCATTAGGTCTCATTTCGATGATTGTTTAGAGGAGCAGATAGGTGACTTCTGGGAGTGGTTTGAGTTCCAAGTTTAAAGGGCATCCCAGGGTGATAGTCTCAGGGGTTTCTTTAGTCTCTACCGGTCCAGTAAGTCTGGCCTTTTTAGGAGTTTAAATTTTGTTCTACATTTTTCTCCCATTCTATCCGGGACCATCTGTTGTGTCCCTGGTCAAATGGGTTAGTAGTGGTAGCTGGGCACCATCTAGTTCTTCTGATCTCAAGGTAGGTGAGTCCATGGTTCATGTAAACTATTAGTCCTGTAGACTAGTTTCTTCTTTGAGTCTTTGGTTTCCTTCTTTCTCTTTTGCTCCAGACTGGAAGAGACCAATAGTTGTATCTTAGGTGGCCACTCAAAAGCTTTTAAGACCCTAGATGCTACTCGCCAAACTAGGATGTAGAACATTATCTGTATGAGCTATGTTATGCAGGTTGACCAAGTTACCCCCTGAAGACTATGGTTCTAAGCCCTCAAACTCAGTAACCCCATCCTGCAGGGTGTTTGGTTATCCCCAGGAAACATCCATAACCCTATGTGCTTTTTTAGATATGATATCTATATAGCACACACAAACATGTATCTACATTTGCCTATAGACACACCTATACACGTGTACCTGTATATTCATATGTGCTTGCCTATACATATATAAGCATACATGTGCAAACATGCCCATATTTTTTGGTAATTATTAGTGTTGTTGCAAAATTATGTATGTTGTGGCTTTTACCAAAATTGTCCCTTATGCTTGTGTACTTCTTAGTATCATCTTTTAGCTTGGTCAAGGTGACTTCACCCTTATTTGGTATTGCCTTACCTATCACCAAAACTATGAGTTGGAAGAGACTCGACAGCAGTGGGTTTGTTTCATTTTTTTTTTGTTTGTTTTTCACCAAAACTAACAAGTGTCTACTATCTAGAAGGTGATTTCCCCTCCCATCCTTGGTACCCACCAAACAATGTTGCTTTCTGTATGTATACCAATTCTTGTCTTTTTGTAAGAGTGAGATCATTCAGTATTTGTCCTTTCGTGATTGACTTATTTGGCTAGCATAATATCCTCGAGATTCATCCATGTTATGGTATATTTTGAGAACTCCATTATTTTTTATGGTTGCATAGTATTCCATTGTGTGTTTATACCACAATTTATCTGTTCATCTGTTGATGGGCAGTCAGGTTGTTTCCATTTTTTTGCTATTGTGAATAATGCTGCAATGAACATACCAAAACCAAAAAAGCAAACCTGTTGTCATCGAGTTAATTCTGAGTCATAGTAACCCTATAGGACAGAGTAGAACTGCCTCATTGGGTTTCCAGGGAGTGGCTGGTGTGTTCGAACTGATGACCTTTTGTTGGACAGCTGAGCTCCTAACCATTGTGCCACCAAGGCTCCGCAATGAACATTGGTGCGCATATATCTGTTCGTCAGTAGTTTTAAATCTGTAGTGTATATACCTAGGACTGGGATTGCTGGATCATAGGGTGTTTCTATTTGTAGCTTTTTGAGGCGGCACCATACCATTTTCCATAGTGGTTTAACCAGTTTACAGTTCCACCAGCAGTGGAGCAGGGTTCCAGTCTCCCCACAATCTCACCTGCCTTTGTTGTTTCCTGTTTTTCTGATCAGTGCCATTTTTGCAGGGGTGAGAAGGTATCTCATTTTAGTTTTGATTTGCGTGCCTCTGATGGCTAATGATCATGAGCATCTTTTCATATGCTTGTTGGGCGCTTGAATGAATGTCCTCTTTGGTGAAGTGTTTTTTTTTCATGTTCATTGCCCATTTTTTAATTGGGTTCTTTGTCTTTTTGTTGTTGAGTTGTTGAAATTTTCTATATATTGTAGAGATTAGACCCTTATCAGATATATCATTCCCAGAGATTTTTTTCCCAATCTCTAGGTTGCCTTTTTACTCTTTTGATAAAGTTTTTGATGAGCATAAGTATTTAATTTTTAGGCTGTTCCAGTTATCTAACTTGTCTTCTGTTGCTCATGCATTTGTAGTTGTGTTTGGTAATCTATTACTGAAAAAAATTAGATCCCGTAGTTTTGTCCTTATATTATCTTCCAGGAACTTTATAGTTTTGGCTTTAACATTAAGGTCTTTGGTCCATTTTGAGTTAATTTTTGTGTATGGTGTTAGGTATGGATCCTGTTTCATTTTTCTGCAAGTAATCCATTTTGCCAGCACCATTCATTAAAGATACTGCTGCTTCCCCAATAAATGGACTTTGACTCCTTGTCAAAAATCAACTGCCCATTGATGGATAGATTTATTTCTGTCTTCTCAGTTCTATTCCCCTGGTCTATGTATCTGTTATTGAACCAGTAGTAGGCTGTTTTGATTACTGTGGCTGTATAGTATGGTTTGAGACTGGAAAGTGTGAGGCCTCCTACTTTGTTTTTCTTCTTCAGTAGTGCTTTGGCTATTCAGAGTCTCTTTCCTTTCCATATAAAGTTGGTGATATGTTTTTCCATTTCAGTAAAGAATATTATTGAAATTCGGATTGGGATTTTATTATATCTATAGATTGTTTTGGGTAGTATTGACATTTTCACAATGTTAAGTCTTCCAATCCATGACATGGAATGTTTTCCATTTATGAAGGTCACTTTTAGTTTTTTGCAGTAGTGTTTTATAGTTTTCATTGTATAGGTCTTTTACATCCCTGGTTAGGTTTATTCCTAGGTATTGATCCTTTTGGGAGCTATTGTAAATGGTATTGTTTTCTTGATTTCCTTTTTGGTTTCCTTATTAGTGTAAAGGAACCCAACTGATTTTTGTGTGTTGATCTTATATCCTGCCACTTTGCTGAATACTTCCATTAGATCCAGTAGCTTTCTTCTAGATTCTCTGGGATTTTCTATGTAAAGAATCATGTCATCTGTGAATAGAGATAGTTTTATTTCTTCCTTTCCAATTTGAATACCCTTTATTTCCCTTTCCTGTCTTATTGCTCTGGCTAGGACTTCCAGTACAATATTGAATAAAAGAGCTGATAGTGGGCATCCTTGTCTCGTACCTGTTCTCAAGGGGAAGGCTCTCAGTCTTTCTCCATTGTTGGCTGTTGGTTTTGCATATATGCCCTTCGTTATGTTGACAAATTTCCCTTCTACTCCTATTTTGCTCCCCCACATGTCTGTCAGTTTGTCGTACTGTGGGGGCTTGCGTGTTGCTGTGATGCTGGAAGCTATGCCACTAGTATTCAGATACTGTCCGGTCACCCACGGCAGACACGTTTCAGCTGAGCTTCCAGACTAAGATAGACTAGGAAGAAGGACCTGGCAGTCTACTTCTGAAAAGAATTAGCCAGTGAAAATCTTACGACTAGCAGTGGAACATTGTCTGATACAGTGCCGGAAGATGAACCCCTCAGGTTGGAAGGCAACACAGTGGCTGCAA